ATTGCTCTACACGCTCATGTACCCCATGCGTAGCATTGCTCTACACGCTCATGTACCCCATGCGTAGCATTGCTCTACACGCTCATGTACCCCATGCGTAGCATTGCTCTACACGCTCATGTACCCCATGCGTAGCATTGCTCTACACGCTCATGTACCCCATGCGTAGCATTGCTCTACACGCTCATGTACCCCATGCGTAGCATTGCTCTACACGCTCATGTACCCCATGCGTAGCATTGCTCTACACGCTCATGTACCCCATGCGTAGCATTGCTCTACACGCTCATGTACCCCATGCGTAGCATTGCTCTACACGCTCATGTACCCCATGCGTAGCATTGCTCTACACGCTCATGTACCCCATGCGTAGCATTGCTCTACACGCTCATGTACCCCATGCGTAGCATTGCTCTACACGCTCATGTACCCCATGCGTAGCATTGCTCTACACGCTCATGTACCCCATGCGTAGCATTGCTCTACACGCTCATGTACCCCATGCGTAGCATTGCTCTACACGCTCATGTACCCCATGCGTAGCATTGCTCTACACGCTCATGTACCCCATGCGTAGCATTGCTCTACACGCTCATGTACCCCATGCGTAGCATTGCTCTACACGCTCATGTACCCCATGCGTAGCATTGCTCTACACGCTCATGTACCCCATGCGTAGCATTGCTCTACACGCTCATGTACCCCATGCGTAGCATTGCTCTACACGCTCATGTACCCCATGCGTAGCATTGCTCTACACGCTCATGTACCCCATGCGTAGCATTGCTCTACACGCTCATGTACCCCATGCGTAGCATTGCTCTACACGCTCATGTACCCCATGCGTAGCATTGCTCTACACGCTCATGTACCCCATGCGTAGCATTGCTCTACACGCTCATGTACCCCATGCGTAGCATTGCTCTACACGCTCATGTACCCCATGCGTAGCATTGCTCTACACGCTCATGTACCCCATGCGTAGCATTGCTCTACACGCTCATGTACCCCATGCGTAGCATTGCTCTACACGCTCATGTACCCCATGCGTAGCATTGCTCTACACGCTCATGTACCCCATGCGTAGCATTGCTCTACACGCTCATGTACCCCATGCGTAGCATTGCTCTACACGCTCATGTACCCCATGCGTAGCATTGCTCTACACGCTCATGTACCCCATGCGTAGCATTGCTCTACACGCTCATGTACCCCATGCGTAGCATTGCTCTACACGCTCATGTACCCCATGCGTAGCATTGCTCTACACGCTCATGTACCCCATGCGTAGCATTGCTCTACACGCTCATGTACCCCATGCGTAGCATTGCTCTACACGCTCATGTACCCCATGCGTAGCATTGCTCTACACGCTCATGTACCCCATGCGTAGCATTGCTCTACACGCTCATGTACCCCATGCGTAGCATTGCTCTACACGCTCATGTACCCCATGCGTAGCATTGCTCTACACGCTCATGTACCCCATGCGTAGCATTGCTCTACACGCTCATGTACCCCATGCGTAGCATTGCTCTACACGCTCATGTACCCCATGCGTAGCATTGCTCTACACGCTCATGTACCCCATGCGTAGCATTGCTCTACACGCTCATGTACCCCATGCGTAGCATTGCTCTACACGCTCATGTACCCCATGCGTAGCATTGCTCTACACGCTCATGTACCCCATGCGTAGCATTGCTCTACACGCTCATGTACCCCATGCGTAGCATTGCTCTACACGCTCATGTACCCCATGCGTAGCATTGCTCTACACGCTCATGTACCCCATGCGTAGCATTGCTCTACACGCTCATGTACCCCATGCGTAGCATTGCTCTACACGCTCATGTACCCCATGCGTAGCATTGCTCTACACGCTCATGTACCCCATGCGTAGCATTGCTCTACACGCTCATGTACCCCATGCGTAGCATTGCTCTACACGCTCATGTACCCCATGCGTAGCATTGCTCTACACGCTCATGTACCCCATGCGTAGCATTGCTCTACACGCTCATGTACCCCATGCGTAGCATTGCTCTACACGCTCATGTACCCCATGCGTAGCATTGCTCTACACGCTCATGTACCCCATGCGTAGCATTGCTCTACACGCTCATGTACCCCATGCGTAGCATTGCTCTACACGCTCATGTACCCCATGCGTAGCATTGCTCTACACGCTCATGTACCCCATGCGTAGCATTGCTCTACACGCTCATGTACCCCATGCGTAGCATTGCTCTACACGCTCATGTACCCCATGCGTAGCATTGCTCTACACGCTCATGTACCCCATGCGTAGCATTGCTCTACACGCTCATGTACCCCATGCGTAGCATTGCTCTACACGCTCATGTACCCCATGCGTAGCATTGCTCTACACGCTCATGTACCCCATGCGTAGCATTGCTCTACACGCTCATGTACCCCATGCGTAGCATTGCTCTACACGCTCATGTACCCCGTGCGTAGCATTGCTCTACACGCTCATGTACCCCATGCGTAGCATTGCTCTACACGCTCATGTACCCCATGCGTAGCATTGCTCTACACGCTCATGTACCCCATGCGTAGCATTGCTCTACACGCTCATGTACCCCATGCGTAGCATTGCTCTACACGCTCATGTACCCCGTGCGTAGCATTGCTCTACACGCTCATGTACCCCGTGCGTAGCATTGCTCTACACGCTCATGTACCCCGTGCGTAGCATTGCTCTACACGCTCATGTACCCCGTGCGTAGCATTGCTCTACACGCTCATGTACCCCGTGCGTAGCATTGCTCTACACGCTCATGTACCCCGTGCGTAGCATTGCTCTACACGCTCATGTACCCCGTGCGTAGCATTGCTCTACACGCTCATGTACCCCGTGCGTAGCATTGCTCTACACGCTCATGTACCCCGTGCGTAGCATTGCTCTACACGCTCATGTACCCCGTGCGTAGCATTGCTCTACACGCTCATGTACCCCGTGCGTAGCATTGCTCTACACGCTCACGTACCCCGTGCGTAGCATTGCTCTGCATGCGTATAATTGCACCCTCTCACCATGCGTATCCATGCACTCCGATCATTCAATGTGCATGTGTGTGTGCCCTCGAGTTACCTGCACGCATGAATGCACCTCGTGTGCATTACCTTATCATCATGTCTGTCCATTGCTGCCTGCTCCCCGCCTGCAGATCGATGGACACGAGGGTGGCCCACCGTACGCCGTCTCCAAGGATAGGTGCGCCCCTCCTCTTCCGCGTGCCCCCCCTGGACCGTGCTCCCACTCCCCCCTGTTCAACCTCTCTTCCTTGTCTTTTCTTTTCCTACTCTCCCGCGTTTTCCCACTGTACCCGCTGCTCCTCCTGGTCCGCTTGTCACATCCACTTGGCCCCCCTCCCCCCTCCTCCTCCTGCTCGGCCCTATGCAGTCCGTGCAGTCCGTGCAGTCCGTGCAGTCCGTGCAGTCCTTGCACCCCTTGCAGTCCTTGCACCCCTTGCAGTACTTGCCATTTGTTTCTCCTCTTCCCGTCCTCCGCCTCCCTTCCCTCACTTCCCCATCCTGGGCCTCCGCACTTCCGTTACCCATCTCCCTATGCACCTCGCTCCCCTTGCTGCTCCCGCCTACGCCACCATAGCCAACTCCTCATGCCACCACTGCCCGCCTTCCCCCCCGCCCCACATGCGGCCCGGGCAGCTATGAGGAGGTGCTGGAGCCACTGGGGTTCACAGCAGAGGATCTGCCCACAACCAGTGTGCCGCGCAGACAGGTGCGCCTACTAAGCTGCACGTGCATCAGGGCACGGCTCACCAAGGCATGGGTCACCAAGGCATGCGTCACCAAGGCATGGGTCACCAAGGCATGCGTCACCAAGGCATGGGTCACCAAGGCACGGGTCACCAAGGCATGGGTGCATGAGGGCACGGGACACGAGTGCTGTGCTTGTTGCCCACTTCCTCTCTGGCGCATTGCATGTGCCGCCACTCACCTGCCTCTGTCTGTGTTGTTGTGCCTGTGTTCATGCATGCGAGTGTGCGTGTGTGTGCACGTGACTTTTGAGTCGACTCAAAAGTCACCCTGATGCATTGCATGTGCCGCCACTCACCTGCCTCTGTCTGTGTTGTTGTGCCTGTGTTCATGCATGCGAGTGTGCGTGTGTGTGCACGTGTCTTTTGAGTCGACTCAAAAGTCACCCTGATGCATTGCATGTGCCGCCACTCACCTGTCTCTGTCTGTGTTGTTGTGCCTGTGTTCATGCATGCAACTGTGCGTCTGTGTGCGCGTGTGTGTGCCCGTCTGTGTGCGCGCGTATGTGTGGGGGAGTGAAGGTGTGGGTGTGGGTACGGGTGTGCGTGGATGCATGGGTAGGTGCGTGGGTGGGTGCATGGGCGGGTGGGTGAGCGGGTGCATGGGTGGGTGGGTGTGTGGGAGGCGGCGAGCAGGGCAAGGAGCAGCTGGCCAAGTGGGTGCGAGTGGGTGCACCATCCTAGGTGTGACGTGCCTGGGGGTGCTGCAATGTGCTCCGACACGCAGCCCAAGTCAAACCAATGCGCAAAATTACGAAACGCAGAACACACAAGTTCCGGCGCCTTGCCAATTTTGCCAAACATGCCGACAAAGTTACAGCCCCGTAATCCACTCGCCATCCAATCCCGTATCGTAGCAATAATGCTCTGTATTCACTGCAAGGTTCATTTGTAAGGGATGGGTTACCAATGAGGATATCTGGGTGTAGTGCGACTCGTTTCGTGAATGTGCTCAACGAAATTGTACTTTCAAATTTGTGAAGTGACATTGTAAATTCCATATAATTTCAGAGAACATCTTGTACCCGTTACTCAAGCCTAAGAAGTGTCCCCGCATGAATGTACCTGCCTTGCCCGATTCATTGCCCGTAGCTTTGAAATCGGCAACACCTGGAATGCCCAGTCCTTACATAGGCGAATGCTTGCGACTGTCGCATTTCACTCGCCGCGGCTCCTCGCGAACGGCGTGCGGCGATGGTTACCACGGAAACCAGCGCAGGGTCTATTCCAAGTACCGGGCTCGCGTGCGCATTGGACGCACATTCGCTCCGATGGCGGCAGTTGAAGGTCGCCCTGGGAGGCCCTGCCAGCCCCACCGACTCGGACGCCGCCACCCGCCGCATCCGCCAGTGGATCGAGCCGTGCTGCCCGCCGCGCGCGCGACTGCGGTCCGCGGACGAGCTGCTGTGCGGCCCTGCGACGGACGAGCTGCTGCGCGGCGGCGAAATCGAGGGGTGGCGGCGTGCGGGTCCGTTTCTGAGCGACGAGCTGCTGGGCGCGGAGCAGCTGACGGACGCGCTGCTGGGCAACATGCCGCATGACACATGCTTCCCGTCTCGTCAATACCCCGACGACCCCGTGTTGTATGACTCGTTCCCCCTCCCAGAGGACGACATGGAGGTCAAACCCCTCTGGGACCGAGGTCAAGCCCCTCTGGAGGTCCTCGCTCTGGAGTTTGATACGCGTTTAGAGCCGCGGCCTCTGCCGCAGGGCCAGAAGCGAGTGACGGCTCTTCGCGTGCTTACCTGTCGAGACTGCGATTCTGGCCTTCTGGATCGGCTGGTGCTGCCTGTGGGGCATCCGTGCGATTGGGACCTTGTGAGTCTGCAGTCGCTCTCCGTTGTGGCGCTGCCAGAACGGGAGTCCTTCGACGGCGGCTGTTCGTATCGGGATCGCGAGATTTCGAAGCAGCCCAGGAGTTGCAGATGGGAGGAGAGTGATCAGGTGGAACAGATGAATCAGCTTATAACGGGTTGCCCACTCCTCCGCTCACTGCACTTCCAACTCAATTCTGGCGAATACCTCACTATAAGGGAAGAGGAATTTTCCCTCTTCTCCCGTCTCGCCCACCTCTCCCTCCCTCTCTCCGACCTCCCACCTAACCTCCTTCCCCACCTCTCCTCCCTCCGCTCCCTCCGTCTCTTTCTCTCTGCACCCCAGCACCTGCCCCTCCTCTCCGGTCGACCCTTCCACTCTCTTCCCCTCCTCGCCCTCCTCCACCTCTCCCTCGCCTCTCCCGCCTCAGGGCTTTCCGAGCCTTTCTCGCCGGACCTGTTTGCAGGGCTCGGGCCGAGCCTGCGGTCCTTGACTTTCCTGGTGTACGCAAAGCAGAAGGGGGCGGGTGAGGAAGAGGATGGTGAGGGAGAGGATGGAGGGGAAGGGGGGATGAGGAGGAGTGGGGAGGAGGAGGCGGAGGAGGGCGGGTGGGTGGGGGATGAGTGGGGTCGGGAGGACGAGGTGGTGGGGTGGCTGCCTGCGTCGCTCTGGTCGCTCACACGCCTGCAGCACCTCACCACCAACGTGGGAGGCGCCTGGGACTGCACTGGCCTCAACGCCCTCTTCCCACCCCACGCCTCGCACTCCATCCCCCCCTCCTCTTCCTGCTCCTGCTGCTGCTGCTGCTGCTCCTCCTCCTCCTCCGGCTCCGACCCTTCCTCACACCAGCAAGAGCGCCACCACCATCAGTGCTTCTCCTCCCTCCCTGACCTCACCTCTCTCTCCCTCCTCTCGCACCGCACCTTCCCTCCTTGCCTCTCCTCCCTCTCCTCCCTCACTCTCGTCTCCATCCCCCTCGCCTCCCCTCTCCTCTCCCCCGGTTCTCTCGCTCTCTTCTCCCACTGGCCCCGCTTGTCCCATCTGCACGTGAATGGTGAGGGGCCTGCCGAACCAGCCTTCTGCCGCACCAAACCTGGTTCCGCCAAACCTTCAACTGGTCCTACTCCTACCGAGCCTGCAACTGGTCTCACCGAACCTGCAACTGGTCTCACCGAACCTGCAACTGGTCTCACCGAACCTCCCTCGTATCCCGAAGCAACTCCTTCCTCCAGCTCCCTCCGCCACCTCACTCTCATGGGGACAGCTGGCGTCATCCCATTGGCTGTGTGGGGGCGCCTGTGCCCGCAGCTGCTGTCTCTCAAGATCCAGGGCTCGCCCCACGTGGCTGTAAGGGGGTGGGGGGAGCAACTGGCGGAGGGTTATGGGGAGGGGGACGTGGGGCAGGGCGCATGTGGTGAGGGGGGGGGCGCATGTGGTGAGGGGGAGGGCTCATGGGGAGCAGCAGAGGAGGCAGCTGCGTGCTTCTTCCCTTCCCTGGAGGAGCTTGTGCTGCGCAACGTGACCACCCATGCATCGCAGCACACAGGGACAGAGCACACAGGCACAGAGCAGACAGGGACAGAGCATAGAGCCCACACCCACTTGCACCAGGGGCACAGTCTGGCATTCATGGGTCGGCTGCCCCGCCTCACCCACCTGGCAATCGACCACACCCACTCGCTTTCACAACCCCCCACCCGAACGCACGCCCCCACCATCCTCCCGACCCTCCTCCCCAACCTCACCTTCCTCCGCATCCACTCCCCCCCACCCGCCCCCCTCCGCGTGCTGCCCCACCTGCGCACACTGATACTGGGGTCCTACCCTCACTCCTCGCGCTTCCTCTCCTCGCTTGCCCTCTTCCCCGCCCTCACTGCCCTCCGCATCTTCAACCTCCAAATGATCAACTACCACTCCGCCCTCTCCTGCCCTCCCTCACTCAAATCCCTCCAAATCTGCTTCTCCCACCTCCCTCTCCTCCCCGACTCCCTCCACCTCTTCTCCTCCCTCACTCGCCTCGACCTCTTCCAGTGTTCCAAGCCCCTCGCCCTGCCCGCCTGCCTCTCCGCCTTCTCCTCCCTCGACCACGTGTCCCTTGGCCGCGGGTACGACCCTGTGCTGCCCTGCCGCCTCCAAGAGTACCTCCGGGGGAAGACCTGGGAGCGGGAGGACGCAGGGGAGGGGGGAGCGGAAGGAAAAGGGGAATGGGAAGGGAAGGGGGAAGCAGAGGGAGAATGGACGGAGGAGGATAAGGAGGGGGGGGAGGAAGGGGAGGAGGGGCGGGAGGCGGAGGGGATTGGGGAGGGGGAGGGGAAGGCAGAGGGTGAGGGGGAGGGGAAGAGGGAGGGGGAGGGGGAGGGGATGCAAGTGCCAGCGGGGCAGGAGGTGGCGGTGAGAGGCCCGCCAAAGAACGCGAGTGCCACGAATCCTCATTCGCACAACCAATCGCAGTTACCAGCAGAGGCGGTACCAGCGGAGGTGCTAGAATGTGTGTTCCAGCGGATTCAGCTGCATGGGGACGAGGCGAGCGTGAGGGCAGTGTGCCGAGAGTGGCGCCAGTGGTGCCGCCTGCACACCTCCTTCTTCGCCCTTGCCTTCCATCCCCTCCTGCTCTCCTGCCTCCCCCTCGCCCTGCTCCACTCCCCTCCCCCCCCTCCCACTCGCAACCCCGACTGCAGAAGCTGCAGCAGGAGAAGCGGCCATGAGGTGCCAGCTCAGGCCAGCTCCCCTCTTTCGTCCCTCCCATGGCACCCCGCCTTATCTCCCTTCTGCGTCCTCTCCTCCCCCACCTCCCACACCTTCTCCCTGCTCCCCTCCTGCCCGCCTCCCCTCACCCTCCCCCATCCCATCACCCCCTCCTCCCTCTCCTCCTGCTTCACACGCCACTATCGAGCCAAATGGGACTCAGAATTCCCCCCCATCTGGCTAGCCTCGCTCCCCTCCCCCTCCTCCCTCGCCCACACCCTCACGCTCTACCCCAACCTCTCTGCACTCCTCCTCCCCATAGTCTCCACCGCACCTCACCCCCTCAAACCCTCCCATGTGCGCTCCCTCCTCTCTGCTGCCGCCGCCCTCCCCGCCCTTACCTCCCTCTCCGTGCTACTAGAGCCGGGCTTTAGGGGGGAATACGACTGGGGGTACGGGCGGGAAGAGCTGTGGGATATGCCTGAGGACGAGAGGGAGAGGGAGGTGCGGCGGTGGTGGGGGGAGACGAACAGCGAGGTGGAGAGGGGGCTGCTTGCGGTGCTGAAGGGGTGCCGCGGACTCAAAGAGCTGCGCATTCAGGGGGAGAACGTTGCCGATCGGCTCAAACTCCCCCCCTCTCTCTTCCTCTGCTGCACGCATCTCACCTCTCTCTCCCTCCCTCTCTCCTGCCTCCCCTCCTCCCTCCTCCGCCTCACTCGCCTCACCTCTCTCTTCCTCGCCCTCCCTGTCGGTCACATGCCCCCCAGTTCGCCCACTCCTCTCCCTTCGCCCGCCTCTCCTCCCTCCGCTCCCTCTCACTCCACGTGTGTGAGCAAGACATCAGCAGCAGCAGCAGCAGTGGCGTGTCTTTGCATGACAGCAGCTGGAGTGGGCTCTCAGAGGGCCTGCTGCTGGGCCTGCCGTTGTGCCTCTCCTCCCTCTCCCTGCACCTCCCCACTGCCACCATGCCTGCCTCCTTCTCCTCCCTCACTGCCCTCACGCTCCTCGCCACCAACCTCTGGATTCCGGGGCTGGAGGGCGGGGAGGACGAGGGAGACGGAGGGGTGGGAGAGGAGGAGTGGGATGGAGAGAGGTGGGAGGATGGCGCAGTTGAGGAGAATGGAATGGGCGAGGGAGATGAGGATGGTTGGTGCGATGCTGATTCGTGCCCCAACGGAGATGAGGATTGTTGGTGTGATGATGATGAAGAGGGTGAACTCCACAACTCACTCGCTGCTTCACGCATTCGCCACAACACACTGCTGCCTCTCTGCAACCTCTCTTCCCTCACGCTCTCCAGCTGCTGCTCTTTTCCCCCGCTCATTCGCCACCTCACTCGCCTCACCTCCCTCTCCCTCGGATCCTTCAGTACCGATGGGATAGGCTCTAGCACCCGATCCTGCTCCCTCCACCACGGCCTCTCTCTCCTCACTCGCCTGTGGGAGCTCTCCCTCTGCTGCGACAGCTTCTCCCAAGAGCACCTTCCCCGCTTGCCCCGCCTACGCCGCCTCCACGTGCAAAACTACAGTGACAGCGTCGACATGACCCGCCTGATGGCTGCTGTGGCGCACTCTTTGGAGCAGCTGCACATTGATTGTCAAATTGATCTGTGCGAGACAGGAAGCAACAGAGGGTTGAGCTTCCGGAAGCTAAAGCTGCTACACCTGGAGTTCTACGCGCGCTTATCTCGGGTAGACATGTCTCTCGTCCCTGCCCTAGAACACATGGTACTGACAGAGAAGGTCAATGTGAACTGGGGGGTGGAGAGCGGTTTCTCGTATAACCTCCGCTTCCTGCAATTGGGCTATGCTGTTAGACTGCCTAAAGACCCTGGTGGCCGAGAGCATGAGCTGATGCGGCTCACAGCGCTCACCACTCTCATTGTCGACAATGCAGACTACCGGGATTTCCTTGCCGCCCTCTCCTGCTTCTCCTCCCTGCGCACCCTCCGCCTCTCCAACATCACCCGAGGCTGCTCTGAGCCCCACTTCTCCTGCCCGCCTCTCCTCTCCACGCTTCAGATCTGCTTCTCCGACCTGCCCCGCCTCCCCCCCTCACTCGCTCACTTCTCCCGCCTCACTCGCCTGGACCTGCTGCATTGGCGCCGCCTGCACTCTCTCCCACCCTTCCTCTCCTCCTTCTCATCGCTGCGCCACTTGAGAGTCACGAGCGATGGGCCCAAGCCCACACACCCTGCTTGCCTGAAGGGATTTCTTCGAGGCAGGGACTGGTACGAGTATTCGCAATGTGACGGATGGGACTGGCACCAGCATTTGCGTCAGTAATGTTCCTGGGAGGATTGTTAAGAAACACTGCTCTGCCGTGTTATAATGTGTACAAGAGTGTGCGGTGCAAGTCTCTGAACAAGATAAACCTGCCTAGCTCCTATCCAAGGCACATTGTTTGAAGGATCATTTCACATCACACATGCGGGATCCACGCTCAACCCAAGTGGAGCCCAGCGTGTTCCACACTTGGACCATAAAATTGTCATGGGGATTCATTATTACTCAAGTGTGGTTTGTTAGGTCCATGGTTGACAATAATAATCACAAGAAAACCTGGCAGACATTTCTTCGAGTAACAGATAAACTCTATTATTATTTCAGTTTCCAAAGAAACAAATCAGGACCGTGACTTACTTTTCCGTGCAGTATACTCAGTGACTCTGGGAGCATCCATGCTCCTCGCTGCCGCCGGTGCTCCTTTTTCTTCAACCAACACCTCTATATTTCCAAACAAACCACTCAGAACCGTGACTTTCTTTTCCGAGCAGTATACCTGGTGTCTCTGGGAACATCTATGTCTCCTCGCTGCCGCCGGTGCTTCTTTTTCTTCAACACCCAATTCCTTCCCTTAGCCCCTTTCCCATTCAGCTTCTGCTTCTTCCCAGGCCGTTGCCTCTGCCGCTGCTCATAACCCACAGTCCTCCCTTCCCCATCACTCTCATCGCTCCAGTCCTCTTCCTCGCTCTCCTCACTCTCCCCATCCCACCCTTTAGCCTTGGGCATTGGCCGGCTACCAGCAGGGCCAGCTACGAGACAAAGAAAGTATTTCTTGGCTCGGGTGCTGCCCACAGTCATCCCGAGCAAGAGAACACCACACAGACGAGGGAAGGGGGGGAGAGGGGGATAGGGAAAACCGGGGAGGACAGACGGGTAAGTATGGGGTTTTGGGGAAAGGGGCAGGAGGGGTGGGGACGAGGGAGGGGAGAGGGGGTGGGTGCTGGTTAGGGGTGGAGACATAGAACGACAAAACAATATATGAATCCAATATGAACAAGTCCAAAATCCGCATCTCACAACCCAATTGTTTCACGCTCTGTTACTGTCAAACTGCATGCGCACCCCACGCCCACCAGAAGCTTGCCTGTTAAAGCCACCTATGGGGTGGTCACTCAGTCTCAAGCTCTGCTGTAATCACCTGTGATAATCACCCAGTCTTTCTTTCTGTTGAAATCACCTGAGGGGGTAGCAGCCCACCACGAGCTCGCCTGAGAAGCCTCATGACTCAACTCAAGAATCACCTGGCTCTGTTGAAATCACCTGTGCACAACAAGCACCCCTGAGAATCCAGCCTGCATGGCGGCTTTGAAAATCATCTTCAGCTGCGTCTGTGCACTCAAATCAACTCCAGCTCACTCAGCATTCACATTCTCTCATAATCACCTGTGCGGGTAGTCCACAACAAGCCCCCCTGAGAAGCCAGCCTGCATGGCGGCTTTGGAGATCATCTCCAGCTGTGGAGCCCCGTTGGGGTAGATCTGCAGGGCGGCCCTGCCGCCCCTAGAAAGTGAGCGGTAGAGCGACTGGAAGAACGCCCTGGCAAAGAGAGGGGGGGCAGGGGTGGTGGTGGAAGTGGGGGTAGGGTAAGGGAGCAGCGGGGAAGAGAAGGTACATCTGCAGCGTGGCCCTGCCTCCCCTAGCCAATGAGCGGTACAGCGACTGGAAGAACGCCCTGGGAGAGGGGAGAAGGAGGGGAGTAGTGATGGGGGCGGGGAAAGGAAAAAGGGGCAGTTTTCAAGGAGGTGAGGCTAGTGGGGAATTGGGTAGATCTGTGCTGCCCTCCTCCTTGGCCAAGCAAAGGGTAGCGTGAGTGGACGAACGGCAGAAGGAGGGTTATGGTCAGGGGGGGGTAGGTAACAGGGGAAGGAGCAGGGGGAAGGAAAGGAAGATTGGGTTACTGGTGAGTGAAACAAGGGAAGTGAGGTTGGTGAACAGTTAGGTGGATTGTGAGGTGGTGCTGTTAAGAGCAGGACAAGCACCATCAGAGTGGCGCTCCCTTTCAGTGAACAATGAAATTAATGAACAAGCACGGAGCAGGGGGCAGAGAGAAGAGAGCAGGGAGCAGGGAGCAGGGAGCAGGGGCACTCACTTGAGGCGCAGGCGCGGATTGTGTGACGACTTGTCGGCATTGCACAGCCACTGGGACACAGAAGCACGGGGAAGGGGTGGGAGGTGGGGAGAGGGGAGAGCTGCTGCTGACGTCATCAGTGCGGTGCAGTGCTGAAATGCTACAATGCTACATGATGATGATCGCCATACCTGCACTGCTGACATGAAAACAACGTCAACCATGCACTCGTAACATGCTGATGATGTCACACTTGCACTGCTGACATAAAATTATGTCATCCATGTACTCTCAACATGCTGATGACGTCATACCTGCACTATCGAGATGCTGATGACGTCATACCTGCACTGCTGAGATGATGACGTCATACATGCAATGCTGAGATGCTGATGACGTCATACCTGCACTGCTGTGATGCTGATGACGTCATACCTGTACTGCTGAGATGCTGATGACGTCATACCTGCACTGCTGAGATACTGATGGCCCCGTCGAAAACAGCGTTGCGCAGCGGAAGGCCCTGCAGGGGGGAGATAGTAGGGGAAAGGGGAGATGGGGAAGGGGAAAGGGGGAGATGGTGGGGAAGGGGAAAGAAGGAAAACGGTGGGAAGGAGAGACAGAGGGGAATCAATATTATCGTTTCACTGGGAGAGGGTAGGGGCAAGGCAAGGGAGAGGGGAGACGGGGAAAGGGTGGGGACAAGAGCCGGTGGAGAGTCAAAATCATAGGTTCAACGAGAGAGGGTAGGGACAAGGGAAGAGGAAAAAGCGGGAAGGATGCGAGGAGAGTCAGAGGGTATTGAGGGTTAAAGGTTCGGGTTAAAGGGGAGGAGAGCTATGTTGCACTATACGCTTTTGAAATTTAACGTATCGCGTATATGCGTTCACGTATAAACGGGAAAACGTGAAACGGGGACAAATACGCGATACGTGAATTCGGGCAGGGCAAAAAAAATTCCAAAAAAAAATAATAAAGTTCGCGCTTTTTCCGTACGCACGTATTCCGACATTTCGGGTCGCGTTTTTCCAACCTGTGGACGTGCAAAACCGAATCGCCACGTTCACCCCACGAAACTCAACAATGCCCAATCACCCCCAACAACTCGTGACCAACCAGAGCACGTCCCCCACCCCACAACCAATTCGTGGTAGGTATAATTGACCCCACCACAACACATCTCTCATTCCTGTTCAGTTCAGTGTTGAGCTATGTCTACTCCAGTCCCTTCTAACCACACTCAGCCTTCTGGTCCGTCTACTCAGCATACCGATCCTTCTGCCTCGACTTCGGAGGCGCAATGGCTGGAGGAGGATAGTACGCATGTCGTCTTCAAGCATTTCAAGGTTCCCATCCGTCCCGACAGCATTTCAAAAAACCAACTGCACAAGGTCAAAATGAACATAGGCAGCGTGACTCACCCCCCCATACTTTTTTTCCCTGCCCGGAACTTTTTTTCACCTGCCCGGGCGACCGTATTTCGAGCGTATCGTGGGGCTGAAATCGCCCGTATCACGTACGTACGTGAGCGTACAGTACGTACGCGACTGGTACGTGAAACGCGTATTTTGCGACATAGGAGGAGAGGAAGATAGCGGGAGAGAAAGAGGGGGTGGGGGAAAGAGGGATGGAAGGCATTGGTGAGAACAAGAACTTGTTATTCGTCAGTGAAGATTAAGCTCCAATGAGTGAGGCTGGCATGGTAGGCAGCCCTGAAAGGACCCATTTGTTGGTGGGGATGCTAAAACGATGATCTTCACTCATTCCTGCACCACGCCCCACCTGACCCAAGCCCCACCTGCCCCACATCTCACCTGCCCCACATCCCACCTGCCCCACATCCCACCTGCCCCACATCCCACCTGCCCCACATTCCACCTGCCCCACATCTCACCTGCCCCACATCCCACCTGCCCCACATCCCACCTGCCCCACATCGCACCTGCCCCACATCCCACCTGCCCCACATCCCACCTGCCCCACATCCCACCTGCCCCACATCCCACCTGCCCCACATCCCACCTGCCCCACACCTCACCTGCCCCATGTCAGAGAGCATGAGATCGCCGTCCACTGCCCGCTCCGCTGCCACGTCTGCACGTGCATTCTCCATGGACGCATGGGTTTCGGGTCAGGGGTTTATGGATGCATCGGTTTAGGGACATGGGTTTCGAAACAAGTTAATTGACGCTCTGTCGAGCCCAGCCTAGCAGCAACGGCCCATCCCCATCCCCTCTGTGTCTGTCAGCCCATCCCCACTCCACCTCCTCCTGCCTAATCTCCCCCTTCCCCCCTCCCGCCAACCCCCCATGCACCCCGCGCACCCAGCATGGAGGGCTTTGTCCCCCCCGTTTCCTTCCACCCCCGTTTCCTTCCCCCATCCGCCCACTCCCCGCGCACCCAGCACGGAGGGTGAGATGTCCACACCAGCTTTAGGACTTAGCGCCCCACCCCTCATAACCCCTCTTCCCCACTCCGCCCCTCCCCACTCCCCATCCCTCTCCTTTTCCCCCCGCGCACCCAGCATGGCGGGTGAGATGTCCAGCCCCACCCAGCTTTAGGGCTTAGCGTCCCACCCCTCATAAGCCCTCAAAACCCCTCATAGCCCCTATTCCCCACTCCTTCCCCCTCCCCATCCCCCCCTTTCCCCCCCGCGCACCCAGCATGGCGGGCGAGATTTCCAGCCCCACCCAGCTTTGGGGCTTTGCCCCTCCCCCTTTCCTCTCTTCCTCCTCCCCCCCCATTCAACCGCGTTTCCTTCCCCCATCCCCCCCCTTTCCCCCCCGCGCACCCAGCATGGCGGGCGAGATGTCCAGCCCCACCCAGTGGTGCCCCGCCTCAGATAACGCCTCCCCGCTCAGCCCCGAGCCGCAACCTGGGGGGGTGGAGAAGTGAGCAGGGGATGGGGGAAAGTGAGGAGGGGATGAGGGAA